AGTGTTGGGTGGGATCTTGTTTGTTGACACAAAGTCACAACACATGGTTCCATTTGGGAAGCCATTGTAATATAATTGTCATTTGCAGCACAATATAAAAGTGTGCAAAAAGTTGCACTACAAAATCAGAGAGATAAATTTAAAGGAGGGAAGAGAAAAGAGAAGAGAGAGAGAGATAAAATTAAATTTTAAGGGAAAATATGACAATTGCCATGGCTAGAACTAAAGCCTGCCATGTGATCCTCTCGTCTGTAAATATGTGTTGTGGAGTCACAATTGAGATAGATCAAGGATGAGACAGATTGAGCGATTGGAGTCACCTCTAAATTATCTTGCAAAAGCCTAATTCGACACCAATCTAAAAACATGTATACCACTGGCTTAAGATTCACTAACACCAGGTATTGAGCACAGAATGAATAGGACAACATCACTTTCTAAAGATCACTATAATAGGCGGAGTCTATTTCTCACAAAGGTACTCAATATAATTCTATGCAACCTAATTAAGTTTTACTTTATTACATACTGACTTAACTTTTGAAGTATTATACGTGTTGTTGAGTATCACGCAAGATTCTCGTTGTAAGTCATCGTCATCTCAACTGATTAGACATCCACCTCTAATCAGTGACCAACATGTCACCTCGTAGAATCTTGCATCAACAAACATCATTTACATGATGAGAGAAGTCAAAATTATTTATTATGACCCTCTTGATGTAGTTCAATGAATAAGACACCAATATATTTTGGTAGGTCACAAGTTCAATTCCCTATGCAGTATTAAAAAGCATGCATAATTTTAAAGTTTTTATGATTGAGCCACCTAAAATGAAGGTGCAACTTGTTAGTATATGTATTGACTATCAATTGTTTTAAGCCTTTCTTGACCATTCTCCCATGATCTCAGGATCCTTCTCATTCGGATGTGGTATCAGTTCATTCATGTACCCCTCCTCCTCTCACTTGCTTTCTTTACCGCATAAGGGCATAAACGAAGTCAACGGATTTCCTTTTAACTAGCGGCTGAGAGTAAGCAAGCTACCTTCATTCAACAGATTTGTGGTTGAGTCAATAATATGCTCTGGGTCGGGAATCTTTGCTCTTCTCTTTTGCATTTCTGCTGCCTGCTTTCTTTTTTGTGTCCGTCCGTATCGCAAAGCTGATTGGCGCTAGCTGTAATGGTTGAAAATAGGGGACCTTAGTCCGGCGTCACATTTACAAAGTATTTGAAATAATATGATAATCTTGGCCACGGTAGCAATTTACACAGTAGAAATTATGCCATAAAAATCTATAGTATACCTAAAAAATCATTCTTTTCAAAAGATATTGACTACATGCGTGGACATAAATCATTATGTACAATTTTACAAATAATTTCAAAATTATAATTTTCCTATTTTTACAATTTCTATTTTATTTTTTATTTTTATTTTCTGAAAGAGAGATGCCATTTAGAAGTGGGCTGCAGCTTGACTTTTAAAGCAAACAAAAGGCAATCTTTAATTTAGGCAGCGATAAAAAGCAAGTCTGCAGCTTGGGATCCCACTCTTTGGAGAAGCCTTTTTTTTTTTTACTTCTTTTTCTATAGCAACATTTAAATACAATATTTACACTTTGACCCTTAAAAAAAGGCAATATGTGGATAAAGTGATAGATTAAAGGGTTACAGAACTTGCATACTAAGAAAATTTTTTTCTTGTAAAATTACAAAAATATCGAGATTAAGATCGTTCAATGCATTAGAATATAATAGATGATAGGTGAAGATTTTATATTAGATCAATTCGTTTAATAATCAGTAAAAGAGTTTTGCTTAATGATCGAGGTATTTGTAATTTTTGTCCATATGTCTTCGAATTCCTACTCCATGTCTGTTATTAATTAGTTATACTTTCAAACTATATATGTAGATAGGTCAAAAATATAAATTTTTAATTTTTAAAAATTTATTTGGGATTTTAGAATGATGGCACATAAAGTAAAATATAAAAAATTAAGTTTGATTTTGGGTTAATGGATATTTGAGCTTATTTCATTTTATTACTTGAAGTTGCAAAATTATTATATCTCTTTTTTTCTTTCATTAACTAGAAGTCGACGGTCCTTTAGTCTTTATACCCATATTTTTGGTCTTTATGCACTTATATATGGAGAGTATATGCACTATCTCCATACCTGTACATACGCAAGGTGAACCCAAGACCTCAAGGATATTTCTTGAGGTCCCAAATCACCCAAAATATCCCTTGAGGACGCAAAAATTTTATATCTCAATCTTCAAACTTTTAAATTTTCTATTTTACTTTTAATAAATTGATAACGTTGGTTCGGAAATAAGTCTTAACATATTGATGTAGATATATATTATAAATAACAGTTGACTAAAGAGAATATTAGAGGACAAAATAATAATAAAAACTACAATAACAAAAATAGACATTTTAAAAGTTTCCTAAATCAAAATTTAATATACCTTAGAGGTAGGAAAAAAGGATTTAACCCCTGAAAAAAAAAATATATATATATATATATTTTTTGTTTAAAATAAATTTAAAAGAAATTATAAAAGCAGTACATTACCATAACTTTATGCAGTATATTTTAATTTATGATACTAAACTACAAAAGACACGAATCCAAATGATCTTATAAAATCATATAATCTTTTTGTAATTGTAATGTGGCCACCGTATTACAATATGCTTCGAGCTTTATAATTAAATATACAGAATTAAAAAATAAAAAGAAACCACAGATTACCCATTTTTCAACACCATCCACGTCACAAGAGTAACAGCAGTAAAACAACCAGCCTTCGCCTCCGGTGCCTGACAGACGGGTAATTTTAAAAATAATATTCTACACATTTAAAAACGAATTAATTAATTAAAGACATATGTCAGCGCTTTACTGGTCAGCTCCAACGACCAATCACGGAAGTAAAATATTTTTTTAAAAGTAAGTGAAAAGATGACGTGGCCACCTCTTTCCCACCTGCTATGTTTTTGGGCGGTCAATTTTGCCCTCACTTTTAATTTTTAATTACTTTTAAGGACACATGGTAACGGGATTGCCTCGGTCGCTGCATGGTCGGTCGTACGTGGCGGGATCTTATTGGGTTAAAGTTTCTGACTGGAATCTCAACCATACAATGCCATGCCATCACACCGTCCCTTGGAAGTATCCAAATCTAGTATATCTTTGTCTATGCATTATTGTAACTTTTTCTTTTTCTTCTTCTTAATTTTTTAATTTTAAATAATGAAGAAAACTTAGATCTTGATGTGATTCAACATGAGATTGAACTACTTTTGCTTTGAATTCTTATACTTAAAAAGTTCGATGAGTTATTTTAATGGTAACAGCGTACTTTAATTTGTTGGTTAAAATTTATATGATTCAAGAATGACAAATACGTGTGGAGCATAAATTACTCGATCCTCGATGTAGTATCGCTGATTTTGAATGCACCTCATAAATTTCGTAAGAAAAATGTTCTCCTGATCTTCAATAACCTAACCCTGTGACTAAGATTTTTGTTGAATTTGTGTCACATCTTGATTTTTTTTATATATACGTGCCTTGTATGCATGTTTATGTAGAGATGAATAAATAGATATTAATGTCTTGTAAATTTATTGGGGTAGTACCTATGTGGAGGATAATGAACATTTTCCATATTCCACAATGGTATATTGAATAATAAGCGCTCTCGTGACTTTATTTTTTTGTTTCACTCAAAAGACATCATATGAACAAATATTGTTTGACCTTCCTTCCCTTCATCGAAACAATGGAAAACTTTAGTCACATTCTAAAATCCTTTGGGCAACTCTTTCAGCACCCTCGAGAGCCTACTTTTTATATGAACCCATAACTCTTCTACCACAGAGCATATTGCCAATTTCAATAGAGGGATCAGATTCAATTTGAATATCGTATATATATGACTTAAATACTTAAAAAAAAAAAAAAGCCCAACAATGGTAAGATGCAAACAACTCAACTCAATTTTCTTTTGGAGGATAACCATTTTTTCTTTATGAGAGAGAGAGAGAGAGAGAGAGAGAGAGAGAGAGAGAGTTAAAAAAACCCACTATATATAAAGCCTTGTAGCCACACAAAATTTCCCCCCAACAAAAACACACCATATATAAATTTCTCAATTCCACCCTAAAAGAAAAAAACAAGAAAACCCACTTCGTGAATCCCCCTTTTGAGAAGAGCTCTCAAAATCCGGCGGCCATGGCAGTTCAGAATAATTCCGATGAGTCTCAGCCCAGTTTCCCCCTCCATCTGTGCTTCTTCTTCCTTATCCTCCTCATGTTCTTAACCTTCTCTTGGTACTCCAACTACGAGTCCGCCGTCGACGGCGTCTTCGATCAGCTCAAGCTCCTCCTCATCGCCTCCCCGCTCCTCCTCCTCCTCGCCGTCCACTGGCTCTCCAACGCAGACAACGGCCGCCTCCCGCCGCTCCTCCCGCTGCCGGAGAAAGACTCGCTCCACCGCGCCGGAGCCACCCCGTGGGGCGTTGGGTTTTTGCTCGTGCTTCTCCTTTTCATGATCTCTTATCAGTCTTACTTCCAAGAACGCTGGTTCCCTCTCTTGAGCCGGTGATCGGACTGCCGATCCGCCGCCGTGAAGCCCCGTTGGTGTTCGATATGTCGTCGTCGCTCTGTATGTTATTGGTTTTTTTTTTTTGTTGACGAGGAGTTTGGCCGACGTGTCGGATCTGGAGATGTAATATTTGTTTATGTTTAAATTATTAATGTAATTAGCTTTTTTTTTTTCCTTCTTATTTTAGATGGAATCCAATGCGTAGACCATAGCTTTATTTAAAGTAATTGTCTCCTTTTTTTTCTTAACCAATTTTTACTTTTGTTCTAGAGAGTTTGAATTCTCCAGTGATACTCGTTCAATTTGTAGAATGATTTAGGAGCTTAAAGTTTGGACGAAGTTTATGAATATTCGATCAGATAAATTAATAAGTGTATGTAACAAAAAAAAATGATATTAAGATAACCGATTCAATTATAATTCATAAAAATATTTCACTTCAAATACTCTCTATAATTAAAAATAACGATGTATGTTGGAGAAAGGGAAAATTGGAGTTGGGGCAATTATCGGGAATTCAAAAATCCTTTGCAAAAAAAGATAAAGATATACAGTAATTGCATTATATATCGTCAAAATGGGTGAATTCCTTCTAACCTCCAGAATTATTTCAATCATAATCTTAACATAACACTTCAATCCTTCAATAATTTGAAATGTAACTATAAATTTATTTGAATGAGTTTCTATTATGTATAAAATATGTGTTAAATTTTTATCAATATAGACTAATTTGATCGTTTTTTTAAAGTAGACAAAAGTTGAAAGTATGAAAACCGAAATAAACGTTTTGAAAGAACAATGACGAAAAAAACCAAAACTAAATGGACCAAAATAGTATCTAAACTTTTTATTTGTTCAATTCAACAGAGAATTGGAAAAATTTGAATTTCTTTGACTCTTAAAAGATGTAAGTAATCTTTCGACCTACCAAACATCACATTGTCAATCATCTCCCTATTTTTTATGCTAAATTTTGTAACATCTTTTTTAATCAATAGCTAAAAGTCAACTTGAGCATAGTTCAATTTGTTAAGATATCTATTTTCGACTAAAACGTCACGAGTTTAAATCTTCACCCTTACATTCTCGTATTCCCAACAAAAAAGAGAATAATTAAACCACCTCCTCGAAGGGAAAAAAAAACATCAACATCAACACCAAAATAGAATGAAAATTTTAAATAACCAAAATAGAATGAGCAATTCCATCTATTTAAGAATATTTTTAAAAATCTGTTAATATATGTCAATGCCATTACGAGTTAGATAAAGAAGATGTAAAAGAAAACAGGAAAAAAAAAAACAAAAAAAGCCAAAAATTTCGTCGCCTCCTTAAGAATATTTAAAAAAAATCCGTTAATATATGTCAATGTCATTATAAGTTAGATAAAGAAGATGTAAAAAATAATAATAAATAAATAAATTGTCGCCTCATTTGCAAGGAAAAAAACATTAAAAAGGAAAGGGAAAAAAAAGATCGTCGCCTGAGAGATTCGAACTCTCGCGGGGAAACCCCATGTACTTAGCAGGCACACGCCTTAACCACTCGGCCAAAGCGACTGTTCTTGTTAACTAAATAGTATACAAAAGAAACAAACTAAAGAAAAAGTAGACGAAAGCTACAACCCACCAAATAAAGCAAAGGGAATGGCAGATCGACGAGCGTCGGCCCCACCAGGGCTGCTCTGCCAATGCCATCGCCACTAACCAACTGCGCTAAAACCCAATTCCAAACACCCCCCAAAGCTCTTATCTTTACCCAATTTTGAGGGCAGAGAAAATTGAAACAAACACACGCAGAGAGAGAGAGAGAGAGCAAGAAATCATCGGTTCGTCAGCTC